TTTATCCATTCAACAAACATCTGGACGCCCATCACAACACTCTGTTAGCCTCAGAGATGGAAGGTCGGATGAACGTCATCAGTTCTTACCTGGGAGCACTCAGGCAACAACTGAACCGGGGGAGACAGAGCAGAGGGGCCTATGGAAGATTTCCGGGGAAGCCCCGAAATTACATGAGGGAGTCATTTTCCCAGGGTCTTTTTCAGCCACAGCAATGGCACTTGTGATGGTACAGATCAGTCTTCCCACCATATTTAGTCTCACTGGGGTTTACTTTCAGTTGTCTACATTAAAAAATTGGGGTACACAAATTAGGGCACATAAAACTTAGGTTCTGGCTTATTTCCCAATTTTTTTTTTTTCTTTTTGAGATGGAGTCTCACTGTCGCCCAGGCTGGAGTGCAGTGATATGATCTTGGTTCACTGCGACCTCCGCTACTCAGGTTCAAGTGATTCTCCCACCTCAGCCTCCTGAGTAGCTGAGATTACAGATGTGCACCACCACGCCCAGCTATTTTTTGTGTGTTTTTAGTAGAGACGGGGTTTCGCCATGTTGGGCAGGCTGATCTCGAACTCCTGACCTCAGGTGATCCACCCACCTTGGCCTCCCGAAGTGCTGAAATTACAGGTGTGAGCTACCGTGCCCGGCCTGTTTCCCAATTTTTAAATGCTCTTCAGATTTTTTTATTTTTGAGTATTCAGATTTTTTGAACGCTTTTCTTTTAATCCTCAGAACAGCATTGTTTCTATTACAAAAACAAGCAACTTGAATCAACCCAAATATCCATCAACAGAACAGTTAAGTTGTGGCATACTCATAGCTCAGAGGCTGGCCCACTACAGCCCGCCGCTTGTTTATGTAAATAAAGTTTTATTTCAACACGGCCCTGCCCATTCATTTACATATTATCTAAAGCTACTTTCCTGCTACCATGGCAGAGTTGAGTAGCTGTGACAGAGATCATAAGACCCCTAAGTCTAAAATACTTCCTATAATGCTGACCTCTGCTACAGTGGAATACTATGTAGCTATGAGCAAATGAATAACTTAAATCTACACACATCTCCTGGTTGAATTTCAGAAACAATCTGGAGTGCAAAAATGTCACCCAAAATACCAAGAGTATAGTTTTCTTAAGTTTAAAACACGCCAAATTATAAACAGATTATTAAGAGATACATCTGTAGATAGTGAAACTACTGAAGAAAAACAAGAGAATGATTAATGCAAAATTCAAGAGAGTGGTTACTCCCAAGAAATGTATGCGTATGGGTGGGAGTATTGTTTGAGAACATGACTGGGGAGGGACAAAAAAAAGGAAGGGCTTCAAGGGTACTTGTATGTTTGAAACCTTTTTCAAAAATTATTCTTTTGTTTTTTTTGAGACAGGGTCTCACTTTGTCACCCAGGCTGGAGTGCAGTGGTTCCATCGTGGCTCACTACAACCTCCGCCTCCTGGGCTCAAACAATCCTCCTGCATCAACCCTCCAAGTAGCTGGGACTACAGTTGTTAACCACCACGCCTAGCTAATTTTTGGGTTTTTTTGTTTGATTGTTTTTTGGCAGAGACAGTGTTTCACTATGTTGCCAAGGCTGGTCTCGAACCCTTGAGCTCAAGTAATCCACCTGCCTCAGCCTCCCAAAGTGCTAGGATTATAGGTATGAGCCACGGCGCCTGGCCCACAAAATTATTCTTTAAATGTACACATATTGTAGGTCCAATAAAACATGCCTGTGGAACAAATACAGGCCACTATGTTACAATCTCCAATCAGTAAGGAAAAAGGAGAAGAGGTCCCAGAATTGGACCCCACACCAAGGTTTTAAGGATGAGCAGGGGGAGAGAACTCACAGATGTGCCCCCAGGTGCCAAGCAGATGAGAACGGGAGCAAACTCATGTGCTTCTTTCTAATTCTTACCTGCTTGTCTTTTTTTCACATATTCTCTCCTTCCTAGGCAGCTTTTGTATGTGGCTTGGATTCTTGCAACTTGAAATAAAACAGATGTTTTGGTGAAAGGGCTTTGTATTTGTGCATCTTTGTGGCTGTGACCTCCAGGGGTGTTTGGGGGATAACGGAAGGGGGCATCAAAGGCCTGTGTGTAGTGATGTTTCAGGAAGCCATTTCAGCACTGCAGACCTGAGAGCTGGCTGGTTACATGACGCCTGGCTCCCAGATGCTGCCTGGGAACTGGAGTTTCCTTCCTGCCTTTCCTTTTCCCAGGGCAAGGAACAGACCTAGTGCTAGGAGCCCCCCAGTTCCATGCCAGGCATTGGGTTTCATTCTCATACCCCAGCCCACAAGGCAGGCATCATCAGCACAGTTTACAAATGGGCATGCAGGTTCAGACAGATGGTGAAGATGCTTGCTGGGCAACACAGCTAAGGAGGAGCACGAACCCAGGTCTGACCACAGAACACTCTCCCTCGGCCTCTCAATCCTGCATCCACTCCCTCCACACAGCAATCTAGGTCCTATCAGAGGCCAAGCTCATGAAGGGCCTTACAGAGCAGCCACGTCCTGTTCCCTGCGAGCCGGTTAGAGATGCTGGCTCAGGCCCCGCTGGCCTAACTGTGGCCCTTCAGCCACATCCCCAGCCATTGGTGCCCACTGTTACGGAGGTCAGAAAATGAGACCACCAAGCCTTGAAGCCAGATACACCCACGTTCAAACCCCAGCTCGGCTGCTTACTCGCTGTGTAGCCTTCAACAAGTTACCAACACCTCCGTGCCTCAGTTTCCTTGCATAGAAAGTGAAGACAGTAACACCCATGTCACCTACCTCATGGGTCTGTTCTCAGAACAGAATGAGACCGTGGTATAAAGGACTTAGTGTTCACCTGGCGTATGGCAGGCCCTTAAATGACTCAAGAGTGCTTCTTGATAGACCGGTTACGTTTCAAAGGGGACGCTCCCTCCCCCAGCAGTTTTGATTTTTTACTTTTTGCATTTCCCCATCTAACTTTTCTCATTGACCATTTCCAACAAACCCCCAGGCTGCAGGCTTTGAAGCTACACTTTCCAACATCAGACACACAGACAAGTGACGTTTTGGAAACGTTAATTTAAAGGGGCTGGTCTCTCATGGTTTTATACCCTAGTAGTGAACAACAGGATCTGATCCAAACGAGAACTGAGACGGCAGAACAACGTTTATATATCTGCGTGCATCTGTGACTGACCTCCAAGCACTCATGAAAACAGAAATTCACAGGGATTTTATCATAATCCCATATCTCGTTCCTAGTTTCCAAAGTAAATGCTTCTAACGTTATATCAAACACCCATGTTTAAGATGTATCCCCAAGCTCTACTTGTTCATTTCATATTCTATTGAAATCAGGACAGAAAAAGAAATCATACCTAGTTGATGTTTACAAAATTCCAAGGCATCTTCGGTAGCAAACAGAGTTCTGGGGAAACGAATGAATATTTTGGTTCTAAAAGTGAAAAGAAATGTTTTTGTAATTAATTGGTCAGTTTACCATCTAGTGGGTTGAACGGTGCCCCCTTCAAAAATTCATGTCCACGCAGAACCTCAGAATATGATCTTATTTGGAAATAGGGTGTTTGCAGATGTGACTGATGTAAGGATAGAAATGAGATCATCCTGTAATAGGGTGGGCCCTAAATCCATTGAGAGTGTCCCTATACACACAGAAAGACACAGAGAGGAGCCCCTGTGAGCACAGAGGCAGAGATTGGAGGGACACAGCTACAGCTAAGCAACGCCAGGAGCCACCAGAGCTGGAAGAGGCTCCTGCAGGAACGTGACCCTGCCAGCTCTTGATTTTTGGATTTCTGGCCTCCACAGCTAGGAGAGAACAGATTTGTTTTAAATCAGTCACTTTGTGATCATTTGTGACATAGTCCTAGGAAATGAATACACCATCCTAACCTGAAGTTGCTTCAAGTTATGTTCCTGGGCTTTAAAGAGTGATGACAAAGAATATGGGTGTTTTTTTATTTGTTTTTTGTTTTGAAACAGAGTCTCAGTTTGTTGCCCAGGCTGGGGTGCAGTGGTGCAGTCTCGGCTCACTGCAATCCCCATCTCCCAGGTTCAAGTGATTCTCATGCCTCAGACTCCTGAGTAGCTGGGATTACAGGCACCAGCCACCATGCCTAGCCAGATAAAGAATGTGGATCTAAGCTTAAAAGAAGATCATGCCGGGGCGTGGTGACTCACGCCTGTAATCCCAGCACTTTGGGAGGCTGAGGCAGGCGGATCACCTGAGGTCAGGATTTTGAGACCAGACTGACCAACGTGGTGAAACCCCGTCTCTACTAAAAATACAAAAATTAGCTCGGCATGGTGGCGTGCACCTGTAATCCCAGCTACTTGAGAGGCTGAGGCAGGAGAATCGCTTGACCCCGGGAGGCGGAGGTTACAGTGAGCCGAGATTGCGCCACTGCAGCCTGGGTGACACAGCAAGACTCTGTCTCAAAAAAAAAAAAAAAAAAAAGAAGAAGAAAAAAAGAAGATCACATTAGCCAGCAGAGAGGCTACAAATATTGACCTCACGTTGCCTGCCCCACCCTCGGCCTGGTGAGGGAAAATTCCCTGGGCAGCCACTGGGGGCAGCAGTGGGTGGTGCCTGATGATCCCACTCTCCCTTGTCCCTGTTCCAATTTATGGAACAGGGGACAGACGGATCCCACCTCTGACCTCCATGCCCTGCCTCCCTCAGGATGTGCTGAGCCTGGCAGAATCCCCTTGGAGATCTGGATTGAATAAGTAAGTGATCCTTGGGACAGGCCCAGGATAGGAGCCTAAAGATGGAGAGAGGCTTAGGCGGCCCAGAGGACCATGTACAAGCGGGAGTTCGGAGTCGGCGGGGAAAGCCCACGAACAGGGTCACAGGCGGAGATCTCCGGAGCGGGGAAGCCCTGCCTCGGGGAATACATCTTCACGCTGGGGCACCTTTCCCTGCAACCACATTAACCCTGACCAAAATGACTAACAAGGCGGCCTCAGATCTTCCCGATTCATGTCCCTTGAGTTGTGCCTGAAAGCTTTCAATGCGTACGAAAGTTCTCTGCTCATGGACAACTAAGACTCCACAGTTAAGAGTTCTAGCACACCATTTCTGAGATGCTACAGATGATCTCACATTGTCTAGGTCCCAGCTCCTCTGGCAGGTCACGCGTACATGGAAACAGTGAAAGAATCCAGGCACACAGAGGTTAGGTGGCCCCTCTGGTTCCCTGTGTTTTGCCAGCAAGGAGGCCCATCTGCTGAGCCAGTTTAGTGCCGAGCGTTCCTTTATAACTTCACTGCCTCCCACCGGCAGCACCATAGCTCTTCTAAATAATTAAGAGCTGCATTTACATTGAGTAGATGAGGCATACATCTTGCAAATCTCCATACATCCCTAGGAATTGAGTCTCCAGGCTCTAGATGGATACGGATCAATGCACAAACCCTTTGATGTCAAGGGAAGAGACCATTTGGTGGTCTTCTGGTCACTTACTTGCCTAACTTGTATTCCTCAGGTTTGTAGCCGATGTAGTTGATCAGCCGTTCCACGCCCTCTGCTGGAGGCCCGTGCCAGTGCGGCCAGGTGTCTGGGCATAAGGACTTGTACCTAGCAGGAGAGGAGACCGACATGGAGATGCTGTGACTGTACCTTCCTCTAGCCCTCCCCCACATCCCCGGCCCCAGAAGCCTGCTGAGCGCTGCTGTGGCGTGTCAGCCACTCACTGTATGTAGTAGTCCCATCACACGAACTTTCTCGAATTCAAAGATGGGTGCTTTGCAAGAAAGGAAGAAGAGATAAACTGTTTCAATATAGTAGGGAGTTTGACCTGTCTTTGTAGAACAATGACATCATCAGATGCTCAACCCAGTGACTCAATTCCACTCCTAGGTATCTGTCCCAGAGAAATGAAAAGGTGTCTGAACATTCATACCTGAATGTTCATAGCAGCCACTGGGTGTAGCAGTGCATGGTGCTATGATTCATAATAGCCAAAAGGTGGAAACAACCCAGATGTCCATCAATAGAAAACTGAACAAACAAATGTCTCGCGCTGTCACCCAGGCTGGAGTGCAGTGGCACGATCTCCACTCACTGCAAGCTCCGCCTCCTGGGTGCACGCCATTCTCCTGCCTCAGCCTCCCAAGTAGCTGCAACTACAGGTGCCCGCCACCTCGCCCAGCTAATATTTTGTATATTTTAGTAGAGACAGGGTTTCACCGTGTTAGCCAGGATGGTCTCGATCTCCTGGCCTCGTGATCTGCCCACCTCGGCCTCCCAAAGTGCTGGGATTACAGGCGTGTGCCACCATGCCCAGCTAATTTTTGTATTTTTAGTAGAGACGGGGTTTCTCCATGTTGGCCAGGCTGGTTTCAAGCTCCTCACCTCAGGAGATCCACCTGCCTCGGCCTCCCAAAGTGCTGGGACCACAGGCATGAGTTACCATGTCCGGCAAAAAATATTTTTATTTTCCTGGAATTATACTTTATGAGCATGTTCTTTAAGGGTATCGAGTGTCCCATGTTCTTCCTCTGTTCAGCCAGCTACACAAAGGTGCAGGATGTGTGCTTCCTGAACTCCAGTGAAAGCTAGAGAAGATGGGGGTCTCCACCACCCGCGGGGGACACAGCACAGTCTCAGGCCCTGCTTTCATCCATGCAGACCTTGCCCAATACCAGCACGCACTGCCAAAGTTAGACAGATAAGGAGGGGCTGGAGAGAAGCCCTAAATGCCTGTAGGTTGGAGGGACTAGTACCTTCTGTCCTCTTCAAATTTATGATATGGTTGCTCCCTGATCAAGGGAAGTGGTGCCAGGCAGGTGCACAGGGTTCGGCCATCTCCAGCTCAGTCCTGTGAACCTCCCCCTGCCTCTCTGTCCCCAGCCACTGACCAGCTGCCATGCTGGCCTCTCAGCTTGCCCTGGAGTCTGCTCCCACCTCCAGGCTTTCCTGCCTGGATTGATGTTCCCTGAATGCTACGGACTGATCGTCTGTGTCCCCACAAAATTCATATGATGAAGTCTAACCCCCAATGGGATGGTGTTAGGAGGCAGGGCCTCTAACAGGTGATTAGGTCACACGGGTGGAGCACTCATAAATGAGATTAGTGCCCTTATGAGCTCATCTGCCCCTTCCACTATGTGAAGACAGTGAGAAGGCATCATCCACAAACAAGGAAGCCAAAGCTGGCCCTCACCAGACACTGAGTCTACCAGCACCTTGATCTTGGACTTCCCAGCCTCCAGAACTGAGAAGTTTCTGTTGGTTAGAAGCCACCCAGTGTTTCATTATAGCAGCCCAAACAGACTAAGACACCAAATGTCCTCATGGCTCACTCCGTCACTCAGAGAGTGACCCTCTTACCTAAGGAGGGAGGCTGGCCACTCTTTCCATTTACCTGGATTCACTTTTCTTCAAATAACATATCCCTGCCTGACCTTATATAGTCACCCCTCAGTATCTGTGGCGGATTGGTTCCAGGACCCCCATGGATACAAAATCCACGGATGTTCAAGTCCCTGACAAAAAATGGCATAGTGTTTGCATATAACCTGAGTACATCCTCCTATACACTTTAAATCATCTCTAAATTAGTTATTATACCTAATACTATGTAAATGCTATGTAAATAGTTGTTATATGTATTGCTTTTTAATTTGTATTATTATTGTTGTATTGTTGTTTTCATTGTATTTTTAAAAGCATTTTCAATCCATAGTTAGTTGAATCCTTGGATGTGGAACCCATGGGTATGGAGGGCCAACTTTACATCTTTGTTATTGCTGGTCTCCCCCATAGAAAGTAAATTCCATGAGGATAGAGATGGGGTCTGTTCTGTTCTCTGCTGTCACCCCAGCTAGGACAGTGCTAGCTCAGATAGCTGCTCACCAGTTTTTTGTTTGTTTTGTCTTGATACAGAGTCTCATTCTATTACCCAGGCCGGAGTGCAGTGGCATGATTGCAGCTCACTGCAACCTCTGCCTCCTGGGTTCAAATGATTCTCATGCCTCAGCCTCCCGAGTAGCTGGAATTACAGGCATGCACCACCACGCCTGGCTAATTTTTGTATTTTTAGCAGACACAGGATTTCACCAAGTTGGTCAGGCTGGTCTTGAACTCCTGACCTCAAGTGATCCGCCCACCTTGGCCTCCCAAAGTGCTGGGATTACAGGTGTAAGCGAACATGCCTGGCCTGCTCACTAGTTTTTATGAAAAGAATGAATGAGCTTCAGACAGCAGCAAAAATAGACAATAGATGTATGAAGTTCAAAAAAAAAACACAGGTAGATGGGAACATCAAGTTCGTATGTGTTTGGGGGGCGAGGTGGGCGGTGGCTGTTGCCCCTGCCATCTGCCACAGAAGTCAAATTTGGGATGAGGATGAATGAATGATAAGTAGCTGATGGGCCAAAATGGTGGGCAAAGGAGGTATATCCAGGAAAAATAAAGGCAAAGAATCTCAAATGACTGTACTCAAAATATTAGGTTGAGCCACATGAAATTGCTGATATTGAACCACTCTGACCCACCAAAGTGACCATTTATTATGCTTGAGAGTGTGTTGCTATTTTGGTAGCATAAATTCACACACAGCCCATCATTGAAGAAGTGTTGGTGGATAAGCAATTTGGGGGATGGTGAGAATAGGCGTAGAAATATTTCATTAAATCTTTACAAATTCCCTGAGCCCAGACAATTTAATCCTACAGATCAGGGAAATGACAGGTCACAGCTATAAGAGAATGAGGATTAGGACCCAAGTTTGTGTGGTTTGAAAACCCATGTCCCCACTGCTAACCTGCTGCTCTTGACAACCTGTTGGGCTAAGGCACTAAACTAGGCCCTATGGTCCCAAATGAACTTAGCTTCCCCTGCTAATTCAGAGGCCTGTGGGGGCACTGCCCACGGCTGCCCCCTGGTGGCAGGTCTACGCACTTGGCCTTGCCCTTGACGGTAAACAGGGATTAGTGAAATGAACCGAAGATAGTAAACTGAGTTTTTGTGAGTTTGTTTTTTGTTTTGTTTTGTTTTGTTTGAGACAGGGTTCTCATTCTGTCACCCAGGCTGGAGTGCAGTGGTGTGATCTCAAGTTCACTGAAGCCTCAACCTCCCAGGCTCAGGTGATCCTTCCGCCACAGCCTTCCAAGTAGCTGGGACTACAGGTGCGTACCACCACACCCAGCTAATTATTTTTTCTTTTTTTGGTAGAGATTGGGTTTTGCCATGTTGCCCAGGCTGGTCTCGAACTCCTGGCCTCAAGCAATCCTCCCACCTCGGCCTCCCAAAATGCTGGGATTACAGGCATGAGCCACTGCACCCAGCCAGAGTTGGTTTTTATCTTTTTGTTTTGTTTTGTTTTGTTTTGTTTTGTTTTGAGACAGAGTCTCACTCTGCCGCCCAGGCTGGAGTGCAGTGGTGCGATCTCGGCTCACTGCAAGCTCTGCCTCCTGGGTTCACGCCATTCTCTTGCCTCAGCCTCCTGAGTAGCTGGGACTACAGGTGCCCACCACAACGCTCAGCTAATTTTTTTTTTTTTTTTTGGTATTTTTAGTAGAGATGGGGTTTCACCGTGTTAGCCAGATGGTCTTGATCTCCTGACCTCGTGATCTGCCCGCCTCAGCCTCCCAAAGTGCTGGAATTAAAAGTGTGAACAACCGTGCCCGACCCAGAGTTGGGTTTTTATATTCTCCCAAATGTTAGTGTTTTTAGCTGTCATAACTACAGCAGTTAAGAACCAAACTGAGCCTTCGTAAGGGATGCCATTTTCTTTATCATTAAACCCCAGAGATTCTCACGTAGTAGGCACATGACTATTAGCTTCAGATCAATGAAGCACATTTTACCTTTGCAAGAAATGCTCGTATTTCCTCCGGTATGCAAAACCAGCCCGTCTCACCCGCAGGTGCTCCATCAGCCCCAGGTATTTGATCTGATGCCTTATGAGGAAGTCATCAAATTTGCCTTTGGAGAAATAGAAGAAAGAATGACAGGAAAGGACTCCATGGCTTCATTTCAACCAAGACAGATCACAGTCTGAAAGCTGAAGTTCAGTGGGCGGGGTCTGGCCCCAGACTTGTTTTGTGAGGCCTTAATTAATTAATTAATCAATTATATTTATTTATTTATTTATTTTTGAGACGGGGTTTCACTCTTGTTGCCCAGGCTGGAGTGCAGTGGCACAATCTCAGCTTACTGCAACCTCTGCCTCCTGGGTTTAAGTGATTCTCCTGCCTCAGCCTCCCGAGTTGTAGGGATTTCAGGTGCCTGCCAACCATGCCTGGCTAATTTTTGTAGTTTTAGTAGAGAAGGGGTTTCACCATGTTGTCCAGGTTGATCTCGAACTCTTGACCTTAGGTGATCCACCTGCCTCAGCCTCCCAAAATGCTGGGATTACAAGCATGAGCCACTGTGCCCAGCCCAATTGTGTTTTTTTAAATGGGGGAATTTTACAGGAAAAAATTAAATTTCTGGTTCCTTTGAAAAGTCCTGAGATCTGGCTATCCTGGGCCCAGAGTCCCACATGGCAATAGCTGGCAGGAGAGGAGTAGTGCTGCTGCCCCTTTAGACAGAATGTGCCTTCTCCAGTTTGCCACAGTCCCCTCTACTCCCTATTGCCTTACAACCTGTCTGCTTCACTCATTTGCTTTTCCTGCCTGGCCTCTGTGAGCCTCTGATGATTCATTATCATTCATTATAATGGTTCCTAACGACTACATTATAGACCATGGCAAGAGCTTAGAAACTACCTGAGTCATGGATCATTTTGGAAGACTGTTCCCTGACTGGAAAAGACCAACGTTGACTCCCCTCACCTCTGACACCTGCCTGACTCAGCTTTGTTGCTCCTGAAAATGACCAAGCTCTGAGCAACGCTCACTATGAACCACCAAAGGAATTCATTTACTTTCTATTATTATTTTTTGAGATAGGGTCTCACTCTGTCACCCACACTGGAGTGCAGTGGCACAATCATGGCTCACTGCAGCCTTGAACTCCTGGGCTTAACTGATCCTCCCACCTCAGCCTCCCGAGTAGATGGGACTACAGGCACGTGCCACTACACCCAGCTAGTTTTTGTATTTTTAGTAGAGACATGCCACCATGCCTGGCTAATTTTTGCATTTTTTGTAGAGATGGGGTTTTGCCATGTTGCCCAAGCTGGTCTCTAATTCCTGGGCTCAAGTAATCTGCCTGCCTCAACCTCCCAAAGTGCTGGGATTACAGGCATAAGCATGTAATACCTGGCCATCTTCTATTATTTAGAAAGGAAAATGATTCACATCCAGAGGACATCAGGTGAGCCTGTGGTGGTGTTTAGGATCCCAACCCACTGCCACCTTGCTTTGCCTTACGGCCTCCTTTCCTGAGCCCAGTTCATAATGATTCACAACTCACTGGGTTCTTTCCTGTCATTGGGCTTGATGCAACGGATGTAGGAGGGCTCCTTAGAGATGAGGATTTCTAGAAGGCTGCTCAGACTGTTTTTAAACTGAGTCCCCACCTGCAGAGAGAGAGAGAATGAGCCAGGGAGATACTGCTGCTTCCAATGAATACAGAGAAGACTGGCCAGGGCTCAAGGTGTCAACCCTATAGAGCTGAACTATTGACAGATTGTCTTCCTAGTGGCCATTTGGCCCATTAAGAGGTAGTTTTGGATGTCCTCACCTGAGAAGCCCAAGCTTGGTCTGGTCATGTGAAAGCTGGACAAGCATCTGTCTAGGATGCCTCACTTGCTCAGCAAAGATGTGGTGAGTGCCCAGCAGAAACCAGTGCTGCCCCAGGCCTGTCATTCTCTGCCACCCTCTGCCACCTTCCTTTGTGTTTCTTTGTTGACATGTGTCCTTCATGATGCTGGCATTATTATAACTTCTTTATTTGATGGTATTTTCCTATACCCTCTCCCACTACCTCATCTGGCTTGTTATTGCTAAACCCCTGTGCCTGGCACAGTGCCTGCCACATATACGTAGTAGGTGCTGTTCAATGAATGTCTGCAAACGAACAAACTGGGACTAAACTTGGAACATATTCCAAGCTAATGTATATAAGCCACGTTCCAAGTGATTTTTTGAGAGACAGGGTCTTGCTCTGTCACCTAATCTGGAGTGCATAATCATGGCTCATTGTAACTTTGGACTCCTGGGTTCAAGCGATCCTCCTGCCTCAGCCTCCCAAAGTAGCTGAGACTATAGATGCACGCCACTGCACCTGCCTAATTGATTTTTTCTTTCTTTCTTTTATGTTTTTAATGCACCCAAGTTTTGTCTCACTGATTTTTATCTTGATTTTTTTGTAGAGACAGGGTCTCATTATGTTGCCCAGTCTGATCTTGAACTCCTGGCCTCAAGCGATCCTCCCACCTCGGCCTCCCAAAGTGCTGGGATTACAGGTGCATATATTTAGTAGAATCTGTTAGAGAGTAATATACTTCCAGAAAAGGGGAAGGTGGCTAAAAAGCATAGGTAGCTGGTGGTCATCTCACCCTCTGAGGAATTTTTGTTCCCTTTCCAATTTTGCATGGACATTTATCCCACTCACTGTTGGGGGCCTCCTCCGGTTTTCTAACTCAGCCCGCAGGAAGCATTCCCTCAGGATAACATTCTTGGACTTGCACAGCACCTGTAAGTGAAGAGAAATGGGCACCACGTTCGCTGTTTCAGAAATCGCTACAGGGCCATCAGGACGGCTCACAGAAGTGTGCACAAAGCAACAGAGCCATCTGCTTGTTGAATGCTTTCAGAGGTTCCTAATGTAAAGAAAGGGGAACAACACAGTCAAATATGGAAATCCTTGTTCACATTCTACATCCACTGCTTTGCCTACTTACTGAGGCTGTTTTTTCTCAGACATTGTCCCTGGTTCCGTGCAGCTGCTTCAGAATAAACTGGCTCTTTAAGAATGAGGCGTTCGAGACCAGCCTGACCAACATGGAGAAACCCCATCTCTACTAAAAATACAAAATTAGCCAGGCGTGGTGGCACGTGCTTGTAATCCCAGCTACTCGGGAGGCTGAGGCAGGAGAATCACTTGAATCCAGGAGGTGGAGATTGCAGTGAGCTGAGATTGCGCCACTGCACTCCAGCCTGGGCAACAAGAGTTAGCAAAACTCCGTCTCAGAAAAAAAAAAGATCCCAGGCCAGGAATGATGGGACTCAGGCTTATAATCCCAGTACTTGGGAAGGCCGGGACAGGAAGATGGCTTAAACCCAGGAGTTTGAGACCAGCCTGGGCAACATGACAAAACCTCATCTCTACCAAAAAATTAATCATTAGCCAGGTGCTGTGGTAAGCACCTGTAGTCCCAGCTACTCGGGAGGCTGAGGCAGGAGAATGGCGTGAACCCGGGAGGCGGAGTTTTCAGTGAGCTGAGATGGCGCCACTGCACTCCAGCCTGGGCGACAGAACAAGACTCCGTCTCAAAAAAAAAAAAAAAAGAAAAGAAAAAAATGACCTCCAAGATAATGATGTTAAGTGAAAAAAGCAAGATGCAGAACTACACAGTGTGCTATTATTGTGCAAAGAGAAAGAAAAAGATAAAAGGAGATACACGTACACACATCCTGGCCCCCCGGTTTTTTTAATTGAATTTTTTGTTGTTGTTTAACCCATTGCAGTTCTAAACCTATGGTGATATGGAACAGAAACCTGCAAATAGTACAGAAACAAATTAGAAGTGTTCCCTCCTGAAGTCAAAAAGTTCAGGGAGCTTCAGCCCTGGTGGGTGAAGGGAGAGATTCAGAGAATTTTTTCCTGTGTGATGCCCTCTCTGTGGATTGGTTTGTGAAGCTAATGGCCATGACCCCAGAGGGGAAGCCATTAGAAAAACGCTGTCTCTCGTTTGTCAACCAGACACTTCCACTCCCGTGTTCTCCTCTGCATGAGGCAGAGAGTAGCAGACCCACTTCGCCGATGGGGAAACCTGCCACGTGGTCTCCAGCAGGGAAGGGGCTGGGCTGGGACTCAGACCCAGAGAGCGACTGTCTGGTGAATCCAAAGTTAGGAGTTGCTCGTCTATCCTGAGTCCTAAAAGGTTGAGACAAGCAGTCCCACAAGTGGTAGAGAAAGTTCAGGAAGGCAGAAAAAACACTCCTGCGGTGACTATTCACTTGCTCACTCCGAAAATGTTACCTTTAGGGTTAAGCTTTTTATAAACCAAGCTAATAAAAGCTAATGTTGTACAAAATAGTTAACTATTTTAATACAAAATAAAGCCCTTAAAAACTCAAGGTTTTAGGCATGGCATGGTGGCTCAAGCCTGCAATCCCAGCACTTTGGGAGAGTGAGGTGGGAGGATCACTTGAGGCCAGGAGTTCGAGACCAGCCTAGGCAACAGCAAGATCCTGTCTCTACAAACAAAAAAATCGGCTGGGTGTGGTGGTGTGTGTCTGAAGTCCCAGCTACCCAGACTGAGGCAGGAGGATCACTCAAGCCCCAGAGGTTGAGGCTGCAGTAGGCTATGATGGCGCCACTGTACTCCAGCCTGGGTGACAGAGCGAGACTGTCTCAAAAACAACAGCAGCAGCAGCAGCAGCAGCAGCAGCAGCACTTCTTAGATTGATGAGATACATGGAAAAGCAAAGAGATTGGGAATTCCATCGGCAGCCCTGGGGGTTAATACCATCCCCAGCCCCCACCTCATGATATGACCTTGTGCAAGTTGTGACCTGTCTGGGTCTCAGCTTCCTCGTCCTCAGATCATGTCACCCCAGTATATTCTCATGACACCAGAATGAAATCTCTACCTCGCTGTGGACCTGCCCGTGCCAAGCTCTCAGCCCCCTGTCCTAACATTTCCCCTCGTCCAGACCATAGGACCTTTGCACACGCTGGGCCCTCTACCTGGAACACCTTCTGAACCTTCTATGGCCAAAATCATTCGCGTTCAGGTTTTAGCTCAAAGTGACCTCCGAGGGGTGTTTTCTCTAATCACCTAAATTAAAAATGTTCCCTTCAATCACAGTTCCTTCTGTATTCTCTTTGTAGCACTTCTTACTGATGGATAACTTATTTGTGTATATATTTATTATCGATTCCCCAACTCCTGACTGTAAGCCCCATGGGAACAAGAACTCCATCTTGTTCACTGATGGCCTCCAGAGCTGGTACCCAGCGGGGCACCAGACACATTTGAATGGCTTGTTGACTGAAGTGTCCACACAGATTATCTTAAATATCTGTTCTGGCCATGACATGCCAGAGTTCTAACACCATGCATGGAAAAGAAAAATCCAGAAGGCAAATTCTACCAAAATCACTATCATGGGTAATATTTCAAAATCATCAGAAACACATACAGTTAAGTGTCAGACTTACTTCTTTCAGATGTCTGTAAAGAAGATCATTGTTTTTTTCCAAGAATCCTGTAAAGCATTGAATAAAAATTTTTTGAATCAATGACTCTGCCTAAAAATACAATTCCATCCCAACTCATTGCAAAGGGAAATTCTGAAAAATAATTTCTTAGGATTAGCTCATAGTTTCTCAACCTTGGCTCTATGGATATTTGGGGCTGGGTCGTTCTTTGTGGTGGGGGCTGTCCCATATATTGTGGGATGTTGAGGAGCATCCCTGGCCTCTATTCACACTAGATCCCAGTAACACTCTCCCCAGTTGTGACAACCAAATATATTTCTAGATTATATGGTTTGGGTCTGTGCCCTCGCTCAAATCTCAAGTCAAATTGCAATCCCCAATGTTGGAAGAGCGGCCTGGTTGGGGGTGATTGGATCGTGGGGGCAGATGTCCCCCTCGCTGTTCTCATGATAGTTTTCAGGAGATCTGGTTGTTTAAAAGTGTGTAGCACCTTCCCCTTCACTCTGTTCCTCCTTCTCCAGGCATGTTAGACATGCTTGCTTCCCCTTCGCCTTCCACCAGGATTGTAAGTTTCCTGAGGCCTCCCAGTCATGCTTCCTGCACAGCCTGAAGAACTTTGAGTCAATTAAACCTCTTTTCTTTATGAATTACCCAGTCTCAGGTAGTTCTTTATAGCAATGTGAGAATGTACTAATATGCTAGACATTGCCACATATCCCTGCGAGGGGGTGGGTGGGCGGGTAACATGTCCCTCATTGAGAACCAGGTCCTCAGAACTGAACTCATGGCACAAATGCTATACTCAACCCTGATGTGCTGTCATATAAATATGCACAGTCTTTACACTAAGTATTGCACACTTGCCCTAGTCCAATAGCAAAGAAACACACGTACACTGGATATACAGAAACAGAGGGGACACTGAACCTCAAGGACAGCCAACTGGGACTCTGTAAATAGATGAGAAAATTCCCCATGACTGAGAAAAAACAAACTCAAGCACCATGGCTGGTGGTATCCAAGAGCATCTTCAGGCAAAGACAGACATGTCATTTCCAGGTTTAAAACTTGGCTTATCTGTCGACCTAAAACTTAATCAGTTAATAATTACATCAGAAAGCCAATGGCATTATAAAGGCAAAACCAGATTTTTTTTTTTTTTTTTTTTTTTTTTTTAAAGTTGGTGGAGTAGCCAAGCATCGTGTCTCGTGCTTGTAATCCCAGCACTTTGGAAAGCTGAGGTGGGAGGATTGCTTGAGCCTA